TTAACTTTTGCTTGGACAGCCCATGTTTTGTTCTATTAGGCCATCAATTGATTGGATGAGGACCACCCATATTATGGAGGACAATCTGCTTGAAGTTTACTGATTTAAATGTTAATCTCAGGACATATAGATAGTCAATAGACATATGGAAAGATGCTCAACATCACTAATCATCAGAGAAATGCAAATTAAAACCACAATGAGATATCACCTCACACCTGTCAGAATGGCTATCAACAATAAATCAACAAACAACAAGTGATGGTGAAGATGTGGAGAAAAGAGAACAATTATACACTGTTGGGGGAAAGTAGATTGGTGCAGCCACTATGGAAAACAGTATAGAGGTTACTAAAAAAATTAAAAATGGCACTGCTGATCCCCCAGTGATTCCGCTTTTGGAGATATATATATATATATCAAAAGAAACCCAAAACACTAATTCAAAAGAATAGATGAACCCCTATCCTATGTTCATTGCAGTGTTATTTACAATAGCCAAGCTATGGAAGCAATCCAAGTGCCCATCAATAGATGAGTGGATAAAAAGCTGAGTTACATACATACAATGGAATATTACTCCGCCATAAGAAAGACCAAAATCTTACCATTTGCAACAGCATGGATGATCCTAGAGGGTATTATGCTAAGTGAAATATTATGCTAAGTCAGTCAGAGAAAAACAAATACCATATGTAGAATCTGGAGAAAAATCTAAACAAATAAACAAAACAGAAACTGAATCAGAAATACAGAGAACAGACTGATGGTTGCCAGATGGGAGAGGAGTTGAGGGACTGGGTGAAAAAGATGAGGCGTTTGAGAAGTACATATTGATAGTTACAAAATAGCTATAGGGACACAAAGTACAGCATAGAAAATTTCAATAATGCAGTAATGATTATATACGTTGCCAATTTGGTGTTGGAAATATCAGGGGGAACACATTGTGTTGTACACATGAAACTAAATCAACATAATATTGAATGTAAAAAAAAATGTTAACCTTGTCCAATAGCATCCTCTAAATTGCTACATAAAATTAACTATCACAAATTTCCCATGTTATTTTTTATTTCTAAGAAAACTTATCTATAAAAAAAGTTATTTTTTTTATCCCTAGGGAAAGTTAATTCCTAAAAGAAGAAAAGTGCTGAGTAGGCAAGACTTCAGGCTCAAAGTAAATACGGTTACTAGCCTGCTTATACTCTGACTCTACTAACTGTAAAACCATTAAAGGTTACATTTACCTAAAATCACAGGACACAAAGTAAAGTCTGTCAAGACTTTGTAGATGCTCATTCCTCCACCACCAACTTACCTTTACAGCTCTGTCCTGGAACTTCAGAGGGAGTAGAGTAAAATTGGTGGCCAGCTACTGGCCATTGTGTATTGTGAGAACTCTTATCATTGCTAATTGTAAACCTTTGCCGATTGCATGCATCAATCTGATTGTCCCCTACTTGTCACTGCTCTGATTGTTGATTTAAGGGACACGTTTAGGGTAGAGGGAAAACATTCTGTGACTCTCTTAAAATATAAGTCATGGATTTCCTTGTTGTAGCAATGTCAGTTCTGAGTCTATTCAGTAATTCAGGGGTTAAACAGAAAGTCCTAACTTTCTTTTCATAATCCCTATTGCTTTCTAACCCCCACCCCACCACCTGCAGACATAACAGACATACTTCATCATTCAATCAAATAGATAAAGCAGGTTTCCAGGAGTTGATTACTTGGCCTGTGTATCTCTAGTAGGGTTACCTGGTGTATGATCAGAGTCTGCACTCGGTGCTTCATCAGGAATTCTGTTGCCAATGGCCCAGTCCAAGTCATCTTCAGAGTCTTGAGTAAGACTGCAGGCTGTGGTCCAATTTCCGGAAGTTGTTTCAAAATTACAGCTTCCTGTTGTGGTTGTGTACTGGCCTAAGGAAACAAATTGTAATGAAATGTTCTGAAAATCCATATTGCACTTGATACTTTACTACATTAGTGATGATTTTAATTAGCATCTGTATATTCAAATTCTTTATAAATAAACGTATAGAACCAGGACATTTGCACCCATTGACAATATCAGTTGTAACCAGCTTTTTTAGCCCAGGGTCTAGAAGCAGTGCATGAATATTGTCATTTATCCATTAAGAAGCCACATGGATTGACTAATAATACTGATAGATGGTAAAACTGTCTACACATAAACAATGAACATAACATTATAATACCTATCGAATCAAATAAATCAACAGCTTCAGTTGTCTGGATATTAATGTCATTGCTCTGTGTACTGTGGTGTTTGAACAGCATAGACTGCTAGAGAGGCAAACTCATTTACAAAAAGAAAGGTGCCTTTGGGTGAAACAGTAAACTGTGTGGACACACACCCTTTTGTCATATGATACAATCACCCGTGTACAACATTTCAGAACTAGTCAGTAAATAGTGAAAGATGTTCTCTACTAAAAGTGTTGATTGATAACTCATTAAAAATTAAGTTATTCACAATATAAGTTACTAGATGATAACTGTGTTGTGATAATAACTAGTTGAGATAATAACTAGTCATCTGAAAAGTGCCATCATAACACCCTGATAGCTGCTTTCATTTTTCATTTTCTTTCTTTGCATAGCAGTTATTGTATTTGAGCATTCACTGTAAAAACTGTGTTGTACAGGCAGAATGAATATTGGGTGATTGAATCAGTAGGAATCAACTGAGATTGTCATTGACTTTTCCTGTCCTTTTTTTTTCCTGTTGTTTTTTTTTATAGAAAGATGAAGTTTACATTATTTTTAACATTTTATCAAGTAGTTTCTTGTTTATAAGTTTTTCTTAACATCAAACTAATACTAGCATATAGAAACTTCATCAGAAGAAAAACTTGCTGTTAAAATGGACACCAAATATATAGCAAAAATAGCTTTCATATTTTTATAGAAAACTTTTTGGATCTCTGAGAGAATTTTCATAAAGTATCAGCATTTCACTTCTCAGGCATGATTGTATTTTATCTCCAAAAGTAAACTCACTTTAAATTATGTACATTTTTTCATTCATTCTACATAATTTATAATTAATTGATTTTTATGTGTTCCTTTATTGGCCCTGTATATCTTTATGCTTTTTTGTACCAAACCCATGTCATAGATAGGTTTATATTATGCAAACAATGTGGATAAAAGTGAGAGATTCAGTTCTCCAGGTATTTAACCAGCACAACTGCAAAAATGAAGAATCTATCAATGTACGTACAAGACAGCCATTGTGGTTCTTCAGAATAATGTCACATCCAGGCTCTGTACTGTTGTATTTCTGTGTAACTGACTCCCCAACACATAGGCCTGACAATAAACATCCTACATCCTTTTCCATTCTCTGTGACCACTCTGTCCTTCTAGCTCCAATTTATTTAATGTATGATCTTTATCTTTGACTCTAAGAATATGTATGCAATCAGGATCAATTCTCTTATATTTCATTCTCTTTACCTCAAGTTTTGAAACTTTTCCTTTCTAGCTCTAATCTCAGTTTATGATCTCTACTCCTTAGCAACACTATTTTTAGCATTCCACAGCCTCATTTATTTCAAAGTTACACAATTTTTCCACATTCTCCAATCTCACCATAACTGGCAGACATAGTCACGGTGTCCCTCTTGATTTAAAAAATATGGATTTATTTACTTAAATTTCTCACTCTGTATATCTTCATTCATCCAGACCCGGGGCCCTTCACACTTGTATGCAGATGGCTTACAAATAAATCCATAGCCATGATGAAACGCAGGCGTTTATCTTCAAATGCTTTTTGAACATTTCACTTGGAATACGCAACCATTACCTCGAAACCAAACAAGCCTAAAACAAACTCATCATTCACTTCTCAAATTGGGTTCTTCTTTTTAAGATTAGTGACTAATTTCATAGAATGAATCTTCTGTCTTCCTAAAGATTCAAACTTTGAAGTTATCTTTGATTCTGCATTCTTCATTTTCATATCCAATCTATCACTAATACCTGTAGACTCTCCCTTTGTAAATGTATTTAATTAATTTCCTTCCTTACAATTCTATAGTCCCCATTCTAGTTCCATTGGTTCAACCACCTGATTTAATGGAGTATCTTTTTTTTAATGTAGCCTTCAATCTATCAACATTATAAATGCAAAACACATTAATCACCTTTAAGAATGTTCTTATGTGTTGTTTCTCTTGCTAAAAATATGCAAGTTTTCACATTGTCTGAAGATACTCTCCACAATCTCTAGCCTTGAATACAGTAACCTTTCTGCAACTCAAAGTGTATTTTAGGCTGAAATCTGTCTCATATTTAAAATTGCCTGCCAACCGAATTTTCAGAAAATTATCTCTTGAATAAAAACAGACTTTTTTCAACTTTTATGGTTAAAACTACTCACTTTTTAAAATGTTTTCTCTAGCATTTGGGTGCTCATTTTTCAGTCATCCCTTCCCTCTCTTGTTCAGGAGAGAACTGCAATTTTCTCCAGGTATAAACCTTCTTTCACTCAGGTATGTGTTTTATGGGTGAAACAGCCCCTTATCAGCTCCAGGGGTGACTGATGGTTTATCTCAGCAATTGTGATGCCATGTTCCTCTTTTTAGTTATTTTAGGCATCAATGTGAGATGCAATTCTAGACAATGAGACTTATTGGAGAAAAGGCACCTAGGAAAAGTTTTTCTTTAAAAAAATAAATCAAAAGAAGAAAATCTATTTGTCCTTTCTCAGGATATCATTGCAAAAATGAGGTACTCAGGGCGGCAGAATTTGATGGGGAGGAGCTGGCTTTACTGAATACCAAATAATTGTAACTCAAACAGACAGGAATTAATTTATCTCAATTAACAGTACGTTGGGAAGTTGTCAGTTTAAGGTTGGCATTGTGGTTCAGCCATGCCGTGTGTGCAGTGTGAAGCACGCATTTCCCACCTTTCAATGCTGTCACCTTGTCATCCCCATGCTCATGCATGGCTGCAAGACAACGGCTGTACTTCCATGGGTCACAAATATTCAAGCATTGAAGGACACAAAGAGAGGAAAGCGCTTTTTCTCTCTGAAAGAAACACCTTCCCAAAATTCCCATGTATATTCATTGGCCTCTGGTGGCTATAAGGAAGATTGGAGATGATGATATTTGCAGCTGGTCACAGTGCTTCCCCAAATAAAGTTGGAGTTCTGTTATTAAGCAATAAAAAGAAGTGAAAAGCAACAGGCAGGGACTACTGTCCATCTAAACTGCTTAAGGTTGGAATTTCTGTTACAAGTATCTTTATCTCCTCTTCTCCATTCCATCTAGCAAATCATACTCTTCCTTGAATGTCCAACATCTATACCATCTCTCCCTTTGAAGACCATGCCAGTTCTCGGGGCATGCGTGGGTTTTATGGCATTATAGTTGGTACCACTGATTTGGAAATTCATTACCTCTTTATTTTATATTGTCATCTTACCTGTTGTTTACTATTGTATTACTAAAACATTTCCATGTGATCAGTAATTTTTAGTGAACTACATCATGTATATTGAAGTGTTCCCTTACATATAATTATTGAATGATATGAAGACTTTGCAATGTTTCTTGATGAGGTATAGGTATCATCTGTATTTTCAAAATAGCTATTGCTTTAGATAAACTATTTTCTAAATTGTGTGTGATCTTTACCATGACCCCTTGAAGGATTCAAAGCATTATTAAGATTCTTTTAAGTAATTGGTATTTTCCCAGTGGAATAATATGGTTGTGTGGTCAGTGTACATATTGATCAGTTAACATATTTTTAAGAGATAGCACCATAATTATTTTTAATTCCTTACATCTACATATCTACCTTATTTTGCCATACCATAGTACATAATGCAGGAATATTAAATTGTTTATCCTCATGGTGAAATGGCATCTTTGCTGCATTGAGAAGGATATTTAAGAATCTGGGTAGATTGGAAAAGAGAATGTTTGTCTGTGTAAGAGCCAGGAGAGAAAGTGACCACCAGCAAGCTAGCTATCCCCAGCTGAGAACACAAGGTGCACGTGACACATGTTTTAGGTAATAATTTTCTTCCATGAAAGAAGAGAGCACATTTTTGGATTTAACTGTTGTGTTTTTTGTTTGTTTGTTTGTTTTTAGAATCGATATCACTTATTAGTAACCATACATTTTGCAACAGAAGGTAAAGATGCAAAAGAAAATTTTATTTTATGATACATCTTATGAGGAATAACTGCATTTATTTTCTGATAAGTATACAGGCCATGCATATAAGACATGATTGACAAATCTCCAGAGAATGTAAAAAAGATGATATGGAAAAAGCTAACATCATTAATTCTAGGATACTGAGCAGAGACATTCTTTACATTATTTCATTTAATTCTCAAAGCACTCAATAGGATGGATGTTATTATATATACTAAACAGATGAGAAAAGTGAATCACTGAGAATTTAAATAATTTTCCAACAAGTGAGGGTCAAAGTCAAAATGAAGACTCCAGTTTAATAAGCCAAAGGTCAACTCTTTCTTATATTTCTCCAAAGGTCATTTTAAAAATGTGCAATTTATTCCATTATGCACATAGATTATCTGACTTCAGGAATGTAGCCCTGATGATTTACATTGGAGAATATATCTAAAAGACCATCAATAGAAAATATTAATGAAGTCAATTTGCAGAACTAAGTCACTTGTATATTTTTGTATGCTGTGTAGTGTTGTTTGTGGATATGAACAAAGTGTATCAAGAGACTGTTAGAAAAGTGGCTATTTAATTTGTCAATATATTACTTTTATATTAATAAATTCAACTATTTCTTGAAGTTGTCCATCAAAGTTGTGGGTAACACTAACAGATATAAGTATGTAATTTACTTCAGTTTCAGAAAATCAAAACTGCCTGTGTGTGTTTTCACATCAATAACTGTGAGGGGCAAAAAAAAGCATATAAGGCAGTCTGAGAGGAAAAATGAGTGAAGCCAGAAGAACATGGGCAGCATTCACATTTGAAAACCCAAATTACCCATAACTCTCCCCAGCATTGTGTAAGCCTGTTTCTATATTGCACATACAGGTGTACACGCACACACACACACACACACACACACACGCTATTCTTCATTTGTACTCTCTGAATAAGCTGTGATAATCTTATTCTTGCTAGAACTTGTTACACTTTACAATTAAACAGGAAACCTCTCATTTACTAACAACTTCTTTAAAAAGAGAGAAAAAACACATTAGATTTAAATACAATTTTCTTCATAGTTTCCCCCCACACACAGTACAAAGTAAGTTTTTGAAGCCTAAAGTTTGTTCATTTTTATATATCTAATGTTCAGAAAGTTGTTCCTAGCCCATATTAAGAATAGGAATAAATGGAAGAATATACTTTTATATAAATATTTTAATGTACATACATCTTTAGATGAGAGGAAGATAATTTTACTATCGGCAGTAACTTTTCTATGTGCCTGTGACAGTCGTCCTTTCTCCACTGAATGTATGTATCTATGCCATCAAACTTCAATTATTTTTTCCTTTAGAACCTTTATAAATTTGACTTAGTTTTTAATGTTTTACTGTTGGTTACTAAATGTTCTATTTGTTATGTCTTGTGGGGAAAATGGTGATTTTACAAGTGTTTTAGAATTCCATTGAAATCAATTTCTTACAGTAAGTATAAAAAAATGTATTTTTGTCCCTGGCCAGTGTGGCTCAATTGGAGTGTTGTACCATATATCAAAAGATGGCAGGTTCACTTCCCAGTCAGGGCACATACCCAGGTTGCAGGTTTGATACCTGGTCTGATGCACTTAAAAGAAGTTAGAAATAACATTAGGAAGTATTATTTAATGTATTATAAATTTCATTTGAAAATACATATATTAAAGGAAATGTATAATTATTTTTAAATTAAGAATATAATGTGTAGTATTCACAGTATAGTTTAAACAATGCCAATTACTTTCACTTCCTTTTATACTTTGATTTAAAACTAAAATATGGATGAATGTTGAGGACATTATACTATGTGAAATGAGCCATTCACTAAAAACAAATTATGTATGATTCCTCTTATATGCGGTACCTAGAGTTGTCAAATGCATAAAAACAAAAAGTATAATGATGGTTGCTTGGAACTGGGATGTGAGGAGAATGGAGAGTTATTGTTTAATGGGTACTGAGATATACTTTTTCAAGATAAAAACTTTCTGGAGATGGCTGGTGGTGTTGGCTACACTCACAGTTCTACACAGTGACATGATGGGAAAGTTTCGTAACATGATTTGCTATAGATTTATTGCAGTTTTTAATATAGAAGTAAAAAGAACGAGAGAGGACTGCCATCTGGATATTTTCATAAAGAAGTTGAAAAAATGTTCTGGCTATTCTAAATCTACCGTAGTGCATGAAAAGAACATTTCTTCTCAGCAGTGCCAATAAGTTTCTCTACTAATAAAGTGAAAGTCTGTGCTGAGCTTGCAGCATTAGAACAGACAAATATACTTACCACAGTGAGCTTCATCAGACCTATCAGAGCAGTCTGGTTTATAGTCACAGACAAGATGGGATGCAATACACTTCTTGTTGTGGCACAAAAAATCAGTGGCTTCTGGGCAAATTTCAGAAGTCTCTCCCACTGGGGTAAAAACAAAGGTGTTATTTGTGATGATTTCATTACATTTGATTACTCATTTTAATCATTTTATAGATTTCACACCATTAAATAAGTTAGTGATTTTAATAGTTGTCCAAGGTAGATGTCTACACAACTTCCCCTCTCTCAGTCCTACCTCCATTGTTCAGCATGTTATATAGATGGTAATTTCAAAATATCCTTTAATTAGTCAAAGGCTGACCATTAGCTATTATACAAACCCAAACTTCTAATCAAGAGATTACAAATCTTTTGTTTTTTTGGTACCAACTTAGTTTTTAATTCTCATTTTTTGCAACTCTTCTCATAAGCACCTGCAACAGAAGGTTTCACAAATATGTCATTTGTTCCTTATTTTCCCATGTGTTCATATGCTGTTTCCTTTACCTACACTGACCATTCTCTCTTGCGCTTCTGCTGGTCTCCTCAACCTCAAGACTCAAGGAAACAACTCCTCTCTCTACCCTTGTCTTGCCTTTCTCTTTATCATCCAAGTTCCTGGTTGGACACCCCCTGTGTTATGCCACTGAAGACCCTTTTTATTCCTATATTAAATACTCAGCACCTCATATAAGAGCAGTTTACATGCCTGTCTGTCCTTTCAGACTCCAAGCCCCTTAGCAGGAGGAGATTTTGCTGTATTCTCTTGGATTTAACATGGCACCTACTACGTACTTTGTGCTTCATAAATGCTGGTTATAGTAATTGAAGGTATAATGGTTTCACCTAAAGGGAACTAAGAAAAGTGAATTGACAGGATTTTCAAAGCAAGTCACATAATTGAATGTCACTTGAACTAATATGAAGTCTAATGATAATTCTTCACAGCTTCAAAGTAATACACATTAAAGATATAAAACTATGCCTTTAGGAATCAAACCCAACAAACTTTAGTGCATGGTCCAACCAACTGAGCCACACCAGCCAGCTCCTGAACTCCATTCTTATAAAGGCTATAACCTTAGGTAAGCCATGTAATATTGATCTCTAAATGAAAACATTGATCATTAGTTTTTCATACAAAAGACTATATGCTTACATCTAGTGATGTCATCTATTTAGAATCTTTAATTATTCATCCTAGAAACATACAGTAAGCAATTGTCAGACACCCTGGTGGATATTATGATAGTTCTTACCTTCAAATAACTCATAATATGCTGATGAAAACTTATTATTAAAATGGTACATGTTGTGCTATAATTGAAGATATTTATGGCTTGCTGTCAGAGGACAATAAAAAGTAGCTCAAGTTTATACTTATGTGAATAAATATTTAATACATTTATTCAGTTGATGGACTTTAAAGTGCCTATCATCTCAGTCATTCAGCAAATTAATAAAATAGAACAGACCATCAACTGAGAGGAAGCAGTTCCTATATGAATTTCCTTTATTTCTTCCATTCTTCTTAGCTTCCTTATGAAGAAAATTTGACATTGAATATATGGAAGATTCAGATTTATTTGAAGGAAAAGAAAAATTTTTGATACTGAAAGGGAAATAGGCTCAAGAATAGATATTTTGGAAAAAGATTATGCACCTCAAATTTTCCTTCACAGATGAACTTATTTCGCTTGAGTACTCTCTTGTTCTAGAAACATCAGGGGCAAGTTTGAACATAAAAGGATATCTCAACACTGCAGAGGACTTAATATCACACAACAAGTATTTTCAAATGTTTAGAAAATAACAGTGTTTCATATTTTCTATTCACCATGAACACTTAAATCTGTCTTATGTTAGAAAAAATTGCTAGGTTTTAAGGTCAGTGCACATATCAGACAATTGATAGCAACACATCTGAAACTGTAACCTCAGTGATCTCAGTGACCACAAAGCTCAGTGTGTGTCACATTATCTGAAGCGTTACTGGAGGTACTGGACCATGTCAGTGTACAGCAAGAGTTTCGGGAAATATAAAAAATCCAATTCTGCTTGTGATACAGAGGCAAGGTGCCTGCTAAGTGGAAGATATCATAAAGATCAACTTTTCATGTTTTTAGACAAAAAAGGTGACTACAAACTGTGTCTATATTTGTCTGAAAGAAAATTATATATACAAACCTCTCTTTTCATGCATGAAACCCAGATTTTTAACTTTAAATTTTTATATCTGGACATAGTTTAAGTATTTAGTTTTCTTTGTGATTTTTCACATATTTTAAGGGCAACAGATTGCTCAACCCTAGGCTATATATATATATATATATATATATATATATA